ATAATTAAAAATATAGGTATGGCATTGATTGACTTTACATAATGATACATTTTTAAATAATTAAACTTTATATATCATACAATTTTGAACATACCCACATCCGTAGCATTTGAAGGTTTTATGATGCCATACGTAAACATTTTATCTGTAAAAGTTCAGATTATAATAACAGCAAATATTAATTATTTATATAAATATAATTCTTCTGTACATCTATACACATATGAACTCCTCCTATACGACTAGATCGAAGATGATCAAATTTTTTATGTGTGTATTAGTTTCACAATTGGACTCTATAGGTCCACCCCAAAGAGTTGCTCAAAAGGACATTTTGAGATTTATGATAGATATTTTAGATTATAATAATAATAGGAGAAATGATTAGAAGAAATTTAATTTATTTTAGTTTTTTAACGGTTATCATCGTTGGCTTAATAATGAAATTATTAATGATGCACAACGATGTATTTTCAGTTATCGATATCGGTTCATTTATATCGTGATATCGAAAAACGATGTACCTATACGTCCTAAACCTATTAATATAATATTTATAAAACTCTAAAAAAGGTGCAATATTAAGCACAAACTTAAAGCGTATTTAATATATACACATTTATTGACGGGGTTTTTTGTTTTTTTTTGAATTGATTGGAATTTTTCGAAAATAAAAATGACAATCTATTTAATAATGTTTTACTGAACGAGTGACATGTAGCTACATAGCTACGATATGTTTTACGTCTTTATTCATTTTGGTTAAAAAATCAGAATTTCAAAAATTTTTATAATGAATTACAATTATATAGTAAAAAAGTGATCACGTTGAGCGAAATTCAATATAATTATAAGAGAAATGTGTGGTATATATTATAGAGTAAAATCTTATAACTTACCATAGCATTTGACAAATTCACTAAATCCTATAAATATATAAATAATTAATAAAAAATTTGTTAGATATTTTACAAACAAGATAAGGGCAGATAATTAACATCTAATTTATATTATCCATAAATTATGTGATTTGTCATAAATTGTTATAAAAATAAAAATTATACTTACGTTGTTTACCCTTTTCTACCGACCAATTGCCTGTAATTTCAATAACACAAAACATAAAAAATATAGCAAATAATGCAATAATGTTAAATTTAACCATGATTATAGATACCAAAAAAATATTAGTAATAATCACAACGTTAAGTGTGATAAATCAAGAATAATATCGAAACTTGCTCAACAACGRTATTTAAGCCATTTAAAAAGTTATTGTGCAAATACGAAACAAAATGTGTCAGTCCAGTCCAATTGAGCAAACTATTTGAAGAAATATTAGTAGGTATGAATAATATTTTGATGTTTACCTAGATAATGTTTACCTAACAGAGGGAAGTAAGGGATTGTAAAAATGTTTAAATTACAAGAGAATGACTTTCAAAAATAATTTTCAGCTAAAACATGTCTAAAATAATTTTCTTATGTATGTATATACAAATAGATAAACCTTCACTCATGATCGATTTTCGTATGAAATGGTTCATTACTGTACCATCACAATGACATCTCGAAAACTATTGTACAATATCTATTTTTTGATTTTATTACAATAACACGAATGGAGACTATTATTCCATATTCGGTGTTAATCGATCGTTTGACAGTGATATAAGTAAGTACTCGTATCGTGTATTCATATCATTATTTTTATCAAAAACTTTTTTCAAATTATAACTTCTTACTGTAGTACATACGTATTTTAGTAAATTGATTGTAGCTTTTCAATAAATTGCTAAGAAATTCAAAAACAACGTACATACTTTGTTTTTATCACCTGAATCAATAATTAGTACGTCTGSAAAATAATACACACCGCACCTTGGCTTGACACATTTTAAGCGTATTATTATAATAGTTGTGATACGTGGCAAAGAAAAAT